ACCCACTGCTTTATGCCACTTTTACAGATAAGTATTGCTTCTCTCTAAATGCTATTGAACTGACTGTGCCAGGGTTGCAAAGTTATGCAATAAAGTTTCTCCTAAAAGTATCCACTCTGTAGTCTTAAGTACTGACTGGAGTGTCCACATATTTCTTCACACCCCCATACATAATGTTAACCCTAATTCAAACTGCATACAGGCTGCAGGGGCCAGAGCTAATGGGGTGCTACTGGAACATTCATAGCTGCATAGATGTCAGCTTGTCATGAACTCTGCTCCCACATTGATTTAGTTTTTCATAAAGTGCTTTACACGATTTTATTCAAAAGGGTCAAGTTAATTCCTGATGGAAGGGGTGGATAATTCCTCTGACTGGTTGTGCTGTACTGAAAAAGTAAGAACAAAATGGATGGACCAGCCCATATAAATTAATATATTTGTGAAAAATACAGTATTTATATTTTTGAATTAAAGTTAGGGAGGAAATCTGCACAGTCTATATAGTTTCATTCTCTCTCCATTTTTCTCTTTGTAATATTGCATTGAAACAGTGTATTATGTATTCTCCCTTAGACACCCCGAGACAAGGAGACGCCTCTGCATTATCTTCATGTGACAGTGCAAACTCTTGAAGTCAATAGGAGGTAGTAGCTAGCAGGCCTTTCTGTGAAGCGAATGTCTTAACTGTCTAAAAATAGGTCGCTTTGTGAAGTAGTGAAGGGATCACATCTAGCCAGGCCCTTCAAGTGCATTTTATCCACAGGCTCAGATAGAGGTCAACTGGAAGAAGAAACACTCTGAAAAGGCATCCTGAAAGTAAAGCAGACCTTGCAGGTAATAAATTTTAGTCTGTGTATTTCCAACAGGATTCTAAAAAATGTAGTGCACATTTTATGAAATAGTATTCCCTATTCTCTGATAGTGTGTGCTGTTTATATTTTGTGGGTGATTATTTAGAGTTGATTAGATGCCGTGACTCTATAACTAATTTTTCCATAAAAGACATATTTCTATCCTATATCACCTTTTCAATCTGAATATTAAGTTTTGTTCATGAAACAACTGTATGACATGTACAGGTCTTGTTACATGACTTGCTGAGCAATGTCATGTATCTTCACCACATATTCACTGTTCTACTGCAATACCTTATATGTCAATAATGTAGGAATGTGACAATCTAAGCAGATTCAATTCTTTCTCGTAACTGATATGCAATAATCGATATTATAATAATGGGGGAAAGGAAATGGAAATGAGAAAATTGATAACAAAAGCCTGTTGTCTGTCTCCAATATCTAACATGATTTTACATGTCCACAGTTCCCAATCTTTCAATATCCATAAAATCATGTTTTTTTAGTTTTTAGTTAATTGTTTGAGAAAAATCCAACCCTGTTACTACAGTACAATAACTAAAGAGTACACAACATGTTTCAAGACTGATTTACATCAACTGTTGTCATCAATGTTATCTTAAATCAAGTGATCATGGTCCTTGTTGAAAGGATTTTAGTCAGAAACAATTTGATTTTTGGGGAGGAGGAATTTGTTATTTCTTTGTTTTAGTGTTTCACAAATTATGAGAAATATTGAAAATGACTGCAAGGAGGGATCAACCTTTAATGTCAGAATAGTCTTTGCAAGAAGTACACAATTTTATCACAGTAAGAAGCATTACTCTATCAGAAGTAGGCTTTTGATAGATATACATTCTCATTTGCAAAAAATAAAGCAGCACACCATGTTCCACAGAGGGTATGTGAGCTCACAGAACATGTGTTGTTGCTCACAGAACATCTAACAGTGGATGCAGATATAAGATGAACAGAAGAACAAAACAACAGCACCAACAGAACAATAAGTATTGTCTGAACGTATCAGCTCAATGCAGCCGCTCATAGAATACATAATGTAACAAATCTTGATTTAGGAGACATGAAATCCTAGGGGAACACAAATACAAAATCTTTAGTGTGTCACCAGAGTGTGCAAGTCAGAAAAGAACAGATTGTATATGCTGAAGCTTTACTGCAATGGTATTTATTAAAACTTAAAATTGTATTACATAAACAATAAACTGTTAAAAAATGATTACTATTGTTTCCAAAACTCTGAAATAACCAGTAATGCTCTGAAACTTGTGATACTGTATATATATAATAGTCAGTATGGTAGTGATTAGAACAGAATCTCTTGCAGTGTTCCCTGTGTATTTAACCCATAGTGCATGCTTTTCCTATCAAGTAGAGCACATTGTAGATAATCCATGAGTTTAAGATATTAAAATGTGCAATGAGGAGTATACCTCGCTTAAGGCCTAGATAATTATTTTGTGTGCATTCTGCAGTGTAGCAAAATCACACATCACCAGTGGGATGATCCATAAATATAATCAGATAATGGAATTCAATCAGGAATGACTGTTTATAATAAACTAATTTATTTGCTTTCAGGAATTATGGAAAATTACTAGATCCTGTAGGAATATTATAGAATACTTGTTGGCATGCTGGTTAGAATAGCTGCCACTTGACTCCAGGGTTCTGGGTTTGATGCTGACTTCTTGGTTTTTATGTTTCTCTCAGGTTTGCACTGGCTTTTGTCAGGCACCCTGGTAGTCTCCCAGCTCTGAAAGACGCTCAGGCTACAGTATGTCAGACTGGCTATTCTGAATTGTCTCTCTTTCTGTGGACCTGACTGGTTACAATATGGGGAGAGCAGTTGTGTATTCTCATCCTGCCTCGTGTCCTGTGCTTCCAGGATAGGCTCTGGCTTTCCACAACCTTTACCACAGATGAAAAATAAATCCTGACTCGTTTGTTGAATTGCAATATATTCTGTGTGGTGATGCTGAACACCTAGTTTTTTTATTTCTTGTTAGTTAAATCATTCTGTCTCCCTGATATTCTAAAAATGCATTGCATTCACTGTTTCTTGTTTTACAAGTGGTGACACACAATTGACCACTGAGAGCAGCATCAGCATTAGTCGAATATGGGCTCTTGAAGATTCTGGAGATTCAATAACCACTGAGTTTTCCCTGGGCACCTGCAGGTTTGTGGGCGAGGAAAACAATATTCATCTTAAAGAGAAAAGTGAGGATTGTTTCAGTTAAAAGCAATATGGATGAGGTCAAAATCCTTCAATACTGGAAGGTTCTTAACACTCATGTTTCACTAAACAGTGAAATGAGTACATTCCCATAGTGAAAGTTTGGTAATCTGCAGTATTTTTATCTTTCCTGAAAGTGAAAGAAAGATAAAAAGTCTCAAGACCCACATAAAAAAACATAAAGAAATACAGGGAGTTCATTGTAATGGCATTTCAATACCTAAGGGATTGAACTTCTTCAGTGTCTTGAATTTAGGACCTTCGGAATACAGCAATAAATAATTTATCATATGTCTTCTTCAGTCACTAACACAACATGTAGTAGAGTAATATGTTTATACATTAATATCAATTAGGATATTCCTTCTTGTCTAATGTTTATAGATGCTCTTTGTAGGACATTTCAAGCCTGCAATGTCTAGTTTCCCTTTCACATGGCAGTGCTGTAGATATATTGCAAACCTTTTACATTCCTTGACAACTCTAAACCTTCCCAGGCACCCTGTGCACATAACGCCTTTCAAATAATCAACAATTTGTCCCATTAATGAGTTTTACAATCAACTTATTATCCCCTTTATGAACTTGTAATTTAAGGTGATGTTGCTCAAGTTAAAGACAATGCGTTCATTAAGTTCGCGCAATTCAAGATTAACACCAAAGTGACTCTGAGAGAGTTTCTGGATGGTCTCATTTCCCTTTCTTCTCAAAGATCTAAAATTTATAAAAATAAAACTCAAAACGGCAAGCTATCGGAGAAGTGTCAGAAAGTAAATTTAGCATCACATCACATAATTTGTTGGCAGTTCTTGTGAATAACTCTTGCTGATTAAATTGTCTTAAAGTCATACAAGTGATAAAGTAATGAAATAAAAAAACACATTCCTGGTGGCCATTTATGTGTCTTGCTTTACTTTGATTCTTTATGTTTCATGAGGTCGTTAAGCAGTATGTCGCAACAGTCATTTTTTTCTCGTGTCAAGTGAGTTGCTGCATTGGTGGACTTTCCTTCTGTAAGGAAATATAAAATATTTTCTCCTGCATGTGATGATATGCACCACTATTCAAACATGTTGGCTTTAATTGAATTCTTAGAGAAAAGGAATGGATCATAAAATGACTTTTGTCTTATGTTTACAAAAAAAGGAATCCATTGCATGACCTCTTTTTCCATAAAGTACTTCAACTGAAAGAATCTGGTATCGCTGTTATTGTACTGTATACACTATGTGCATTAATTTTTAAATTTGTTTAAATGGTTTCAAAGCTTACTCCACATACAGTACATGGAGAACTTGCCTTGATATGATTACACAATCAAGCAATTTCACTAATTTTGAAACACATTTTATTTTTACTATTAATGTGACATCAATTCTGAAATTTCATTTCAAGGTAGCTTGAAGTTTGATGCTGTCTTGCAATAATTTTGGATATAGTATTAAAACATTTAGGTGTTATAGAAATGTTAGTTTTTTTAGGTTTGTTAGTTAATTGTCTAAATCTGTTATTTAAACCTTTTACATTCATGCCTTATTTTATTGTAGTAAATGGCTATATATTCAAGAGTAGTTTGATGTAAAAAAGTCACCTCATTTGCTAATAGTTAATGTATCTCTTATGAACATTTTGATTATATTTTGAAATAGAACAAAATTACAATGCAACAAAGTACACAAAAGGGTTCTCACAAAAAAATTCTACTTACTTTTAAATTAGGGTTATATTTTTTGCTGTACCACATTGTGTTATTTTCGAAAGTAAAGTACGAATGGAAAAGTAACTCAAAAGTTATAATTTGGTTTTACTGAAAAGGAGGCTTGAGTGATGTCATCACGTAAAAAGAAGGCGCGGCGTGGTTGCTAGGAGACGAGAAGGACGCGCCAGGTTTCCAAAGAATCCACAACAACACAACGTGGACATTTAAAACGTTATGGACGCGAAAGTAATGTTTTTAAGCAAAATACTCTTGTCTTTAAAAAATAAATTATTTGATGTTTAAAATCTTTCTGTAGTTCCCGAATTACAAACTTTAGTTTCTGGATAAACTGTTAAACAGGGCAAGTGAAAAAAATGACGGAGGTAAGTTTAAACTAAACATTTCAAACAGATGGATTATAGAGACATTTTGGATTGTAATAATTCAAGACAAATTGTTGTATTTATGTCGATGTTAGTAGTTTCATATGAGAAAATTAATATTTGGAAAAATCTCAGAGATTAAATGTTTTTCGGAGTAATGATTAGTAACAGCAATTATTTATTATTAAATTAATAATGTTATCATTGGTTTAACATCGTTTATCTGTTAGGAAACCAGAAAATAGCGATATAACCATTTATTATATGTTATCCAAAATATACAACTTATACTTTGAATTGAGAATGGCCTTTCTTCTTGAGTTCTCAATCTACGTTTTTACTGACTAGTCTCCTGGAAAAGGTTACACCAAGAATTGATTTAGTTTTTGATTAATTAATTTATAATTTGATTTTCAGAATTTGATTTCCCTATAGGGATTATCTGATTCCATATCTAAAGTTATACCTTAACGACTCTGTTACATGTATAAATCATGGAATTATTCAGTAGGCGGCTGTGTGCATTCTCTATCTTTTACTATTGTGGAGGTGTCGATTTAAGACTTCCATCATGAATATTATAGTCAAGAGAAATTCAAATGTAGAACTGAGCACTGAAAAATAGTTGCACTACTACTGTAGCCTTGACAGTGTACCTTCATGTAGATTTGCTTTCATCTCATCTTCGTATTTTCCAAGTGAATTTTTATTCAAAAGTTGTGGGTAGCAACCACAGTCATTCAAAGACTGCATTTGCAATCCATCCTAATAAATTAGGAATATGTTCATTAATTTGTTCACTGCAGCAGTATTTTATTGAACCATGTGTTTTCCTGTCTATAGCTCTGGAAAGAAACAGGATTGTTGATTTAACAAATGAATCATGAGCTGTATAAAATATGACAGGTGTTCACTGCCAAACTTCTGCATCACCTGTATTATCCTCCACTGGCAATAAGACAACATTGTTTCAATCCCTGCCTTTTTATTTCTAGGAAAAGGCTCAGAAGCTAGAAACTGAAGAAAATGTCTTTGAGACACTGGAAAAGGACTTTCAGGAAGTGCTTAACGAGCTCATGGGAGATAAGAGCCTTGAAAAATTCCGGGCAGAATATGAGAAACTCCATAAAGCCCTGAAGAAATCCCATGAGAGTGAGAAAAGGCTTATGGCAAAATGCAGGGAGTTAAACGCGGAAATAGTATCCAACTCTGTCAAAGTTGCAACAGCATTGAAGTTGTCTCAAGAAGATCAAACGACTATTACGTCTCTGAAAAAGGTAATGTTTTATTTTCCATTTTTTCCACAGCGTTCATACTAAAACCAGCAATTCATTTTGAACACAGAATTAGTCTGTTGATAATGAGCAGTGCTTAGTTTCCTCCATGTATCCATTTTTTAATTGAAACACTAGTATCCTAAAATAGAGAGAGAAATATTTCAATTTTAGTTTGAGGCTAAAAATGAGGTTTGATTTTGGTTTGAATAGTTGGTTTAGAAAAGTTGACCCTTTTATATAATAGTTCTGTGATCTTCTCACTTAAATTTGTGGTGCTCTTTTAGGAGATAGAAAAAGCCTGGAAAATGGTTGATTCAGCCCACGAGAAAGAACAAAGGGCAAAAGAGACAATCCATTCACTGAAACAGGAGATTTCTAACCTAACAAAGCTTGTTGAACAAGGCGCTGGCTTGTCAATAGGCCAGGAACACGGGTGAGTGTTATTTCTTCATTCGTCTTTAATCTACGAATTGAGATACCCTGAAGAAGGTAGAGATATTAATATAAACCTTTATGACTCATATACAATGCAGAATGCATTGTTGTAAACTTTGTATCTAGGATGAAAGATCCATGCTCTGTATCCCTATTTTTAAATCTTGAAAGAGAAATGTCTCGCCAAATGGAATGTAAGTCTCTCGCTTTTATTTAGAAAAAAACTTTATTCTTTAGTTTGATAAAATTGTACTAAAAACAGTCACAAAATATGAATTTAACATAGAAAATGGGGCAGTACAGTATCCAAATGGTTAGCATTGCTGTATCGCAATGCTGGGGCCTTCGGTTCAATTCCAAACCTGAGGTGCCGCTACATGTAAAGTGTCTGCATGGAGTTTGTCTGTTCTCCCCTTGTTGATGTGGGTTTCTGATATGGTTCTCCAGTTTCCTCCTACAGTCCAAAGACATACTGATAGGTTAATTGGCTTTTTAGAAAATTGGCTCTGGTATGATGAGTGTGTGCTTGTGTTTGTCTGTGTGTGTGCCCTGCAATGGTCTGGCATCCCATCCAGCGTGTATCCTGCCTTGTGCCTGTTGCTTGCCGGGATAGGGTCTGGATCTCCCGCGGCCCTGAATTTGATAAACCAGTTAAAAAATGGATGGATGGATATACAAAATGAATTTTAACAAATGAATTGTGAGAATGTTAAATTTGTACTCACATATTTGTTTAAAAACATAATGGTAACAAACGTTAGTTTAAAAAAAACAACAAATTACTGTATCTTCTTCAATGTGTATTATCCTGGATTATCTGTATGAAAAAAGTGTGACTTTTTTAGTGTGAATGATTTATTGAAAATCAAAGAAGACCTCACAAAGGAAAGAGATGAACTTCTGACTGAAGTAGTGAATTTGCGAGAAAGCCTTACGAAGGCCACTGCCAAGCAGCAAGAGATCGAGGCCTTGAAAGAAAAGTCCTTTGAGACTATCTCACAGGTAATGAAATATATATGCAAGTGTGTTGTAAAACCTTGTTTTATATTGTATTATTAAAAAAAATCCTTAAACTGCCTTTATCCTCAGTTTCCATTTAGGAAATTAATTATCTTAAACACTTAAAATTATTTCTTGATCTCTCATAACAGCAACATTTTACAGTGTTTGGGGTAACATCAATTGTAAGTTCAAAAACATCCTTTATCCTGAGGGTACGAATTCAGTCTATAATTGAAACTTTTAATGTCATCATCTGACTCATTATTAAATATCCACTAATTCTGTTAACCTTATGAGTATTTAGTAATTTACAGTATGTCTTTAACTTAATAGCTCAATACCTGATATGAAAAAAAATCAAAAGTCTGAAACATTGCTATTTGCTCTCCTATTGTAAAAATCGGCAGATTTAGTTGACATATTTATATGCAATCCTTATATCATTCTCTAATTATCTTAGTTAAATCAAATAGAAAAAAACTGTAGACAGGTTTTGAACCCATTTCTTGCTTTTAATGTAAAGCTGAGGTTTATTGTTTGCATGTAAAGCTCCAACAGGACATTCAGGTTCGCCAGAATGAATGTTCTCGTGAGACTCGGAGGAAGGAGAAGCTGGAGAAGGAAGTGAAGCAGCTGCAGGCTGATCTGGACGCCAAACAGTCGGAAATCAAATCGCTCAATCTGCAGAGCCAGTGGAGCAAAGAGGAGCAGCAGAAGCTGGAGCAACAGCTGCGGGAGCAGAAGGTAGGCCTACTGGGGAGAACTCCTAAGACCTGCTCTGTTGAAACGGCCTTCTTGCAGCTTGGAGTTATCAGGTTTTCCAACCATGGCTATTGGCAGCATCAGCAGTACCAAGCATCCACAGACTGAAAATGCATGATGCTATAGCGGGCACATACTGTAATTCTTTGTATTATACGGCCCTGTTTTCCCCCTTTTGAATAATTCTTTCTTAAATTCAATCTTCTAGTAAATATTTTGTCATGAAGCCTTAAAACAAGTTATATTTTTGCACCATGGCAAGTTTGACATGTTTAGTTGATACAGTAAATGGCTGAGAAAAGACAAAGGGTTCAGAGTCATGGGGGAGCCGTTGCAAGGCTGGGTGCCACCCTGGACGGGAAGCTAGCCCATCTCAGGGTAGGCACACAGACACACTCACACCTAGGGCCAGTCTTCCCAGGAGTCAACCTGTCAGTATGTTTTCGGACTGTGGGAGGAAACCAGAGCATCCAAGAACATACAAACTCCACGCAGATAGCACCCCAGGTCCTGAATTGATCCCAGGTCTCAGCGCTGCGAGGCAGCAATGCTAACCACTGTGCAACCATGCCTCCCATAAAACAACATATTTTCTTTCTTTCCTTACATTCACATTTGTCTCAGTTGCTCGAAGCCTTGAGTAATGGTGTGTAACAGTTTTGAATTCAATGCTGAGATACAAAGATACAGTGTATGTATTTACTGTATGTATCACATCATGCAAGATGTTGTATATAAACGATTCTTCCAAATATCACAGATTCTCAATGAGCGAGCAACAAAAGAGCTGGAGCAGATGCACGTTAGGAATACAAAACTCCAACAGGAGAATGAGCAGAACTCTCTGAGTATGGAGCAGCTAGCCCAAGAGAATCAGCAAAGAGCTACAGATCTTAAGGTAGGAGCACCCAAAGTAATCTGAGAAAAGGCAATAGTGCCCGATATAAATCCATATTTTGTTTAACATAAATCCCGTTTGCCATGGAGGGCTTTATGAAAACTCCTGTTGTAGAAGGCCTTGTATAACAAGGCTCATGGGAGAAAAAAGTTTAGATTTGGAGGCCCCTAAGCTCTTAAAGCTTGTCATATTAATGATGCATGCTGAACATTTTGCAGCAAGACGGTCATTGAATTCAGAATCTTTTGAGATGCTGTGTGGAACATGCATTCATGTTGTGGGTAGTTCCGTTACTTTGAAGTGTCAATGACTGATTCTGTATGATATTCTTTAACATAGTGAAACTGGGTTAGAAAAAACAAAACAAAAGTTACACCAAAAAAAAAGAAGAAAAACCTCAAGACAATTGGCCTGACCAAGCCAGTTTGTGTCTTCTTTTGAACTTTCCTGTCCATCTTAAATTATGCACAGAAATGATCCCCTGGAGAGGAGGAAGGACTTCTGAACTAGAGCTATTAATCTTTGAATGTCTTTCCAAGGATCTTTCAAATTTAGATACCATTTATAGAACACCGGAGGAAAAAAGTGATACAACTCATCTTCCAGTAGAACATATTGCTCTGAAAGTTTAGGGTTTCAAATGCTGAGCGTATGCAGTATGTAATCCCTGCTGTAAATTTATTAGACAAAACTCAAATCCCTCAATGAAATCTATTGCAATTTAACTAGAAAAGCACTAGAGGGCACTATATAGACACAGAATTGTTGGTCCTGTCGAGTGTTGTTGCTTTATTTTCAACAGTCTGAAGGAGAGCATTTTGTTTTTTATTTTCTTTTGAGAAACAATCATAAATATGATAGTGTCACTACTGTTGCTACTAACAGTAACAATCATACAAATTAGTATTTTGTTTTAGATATTGTTTTAAAATATGACTTTGTATCTAAAGAATAAAATAGCTACTGTAAATAGTATTCATTTTAAAGACTACACTTCTTCCTGATATGCCCTGACAGCCACTATAGTGTTCTATAAAGATTTATTTTTTTTATTTTTGGAAGAACTTTAATATCCTGTTATTTATGAACCCATAAGGATTGTGGTTATAATAGGAAGTGTCTGTCAAGTCTCTCATATAAAAAAATATTGATTATGTTGATTTTCATTTCACATTTCACACGAAAGACAATTTACCTAATATCTTGGGCTATTTCTGCTGGAACAACTTCCATTACAAAATGTACCTCCTGAGAAATAAAATGGCTACTGTGCTTTGCCTATAAGACATGCTGTAGGTAAAGGGAATTGAGTAGCAGTAGCACTTGGCTTAACGTCAGAAACAAACCCAAAGAAGTAAACTTAAAAAAAAATCCCGACAGGTGAGGGAAGAAGAGGTGAATCAGATGCGTCAAGAGATCTCAAAACTAACTAAGATGAGAGAAGCCACCCAGAGGAAATTGCGTCAGATTGAAGATCAGAAAGTGGAAGTGGAGCAGCAGAGGGACATGCTGAAAAACCAGATCGCTGGGATGGAGAGAGGTAAGGAATTCCATTTGTTTTCTTAGACTGTATGTTGCCCCCCACACACACTTGCATTGTAGAACTCTTTCTTTGATATAGATGCACATGTTAAAACAAATAGCAATTTGTGAGAGCATTCTCAGTTTACAGTTTATTTTAAAAAGTTTAAAAAAATGCCACAACAACTTTCAATATCAACTATTGTTTTTTTAATTATTCCATCCAGTAGGGGAGGGCGATTTCTTTATGGAGTTCAGTCTTGCTTCATCAGAACCAACTAAAACAGACACATGAAAGTATTGTATACGTTTTTGAGACATTGATTCAATTTAATGTACTTTATGATTATGTGCGATAAAAAGTCAGGTGAAGAGTACTTAAGAACCACCAAGCAAAGGTAATAAATAATATTACGATTAGTATGATAACATAATATGGATGAACTAAAACCCATTGGTCTGAAATTAAAATGTTTCCAAAATAATTAATGTACAATAGAAGGAGGTATTTAGTACATCCATGCTTTTGTCTGTTGGTGCCATAGATTAGGACACAATATATTCACAGCTGACAGCAATGGACAGAATTCTGCATTGTACTTTTGTGTTATCTTTTTTTATGTGTGTTAAGACATGAAAATAATAGGCTTTCAAACCCATTTTATAATTCAAAATGTTAAAAAAAAATCATATTTGTTCAAGGTGCTAATGCAAAAGAAAAAGGAACGCACCATTAACGATCTGTTAAAAGGGGATAAAATTGTGCTTTTCTCAAAATATAACTTTTTTTAGAGATGGAAGCGTCAAGAAAGCAGACAGAGATTGACAAGAAATCTATAGAAGAATTGATGCGAGAAAGGGACATTTTAAACAAAGTAGGTTTACGATAAATTATTAGATATTCTAATATAAATAATTTATATAAACATGCACATTATAACCATGTTAACCCTGGTATGAGTGGATATACTTAACAATATTATTTAACCCTTCTACAGAGTCTGAGACCCACATACTGTACATAGTAATGGTAACTTGTATGGTTCAGGTAATATCATTTATTCAGTGCTTTGTACATGTACAGTATGTGCAAAGGAAATCTACCAATTTGGTTTTCTTGTATAGTGAAAAATGTGTTTCCAAATGTATGCACTTTTCTATAAGGAATACACATGATTTACCCAGAAATGCCTATTTTTCCTAGTGCAACATACCAAAGGGTCAAAACTTATTGTAACACTTATATTTGTTTTAGGACTACTTTTTTAACATGGATATCATTTTTACTGTGACAAATGTAAATCATGTAAATACAGGTATCTTTTTATTCTTGTTGATGTATTAAGGTTATGTCTCAAATAGTATTCTTATGCACAAAACATTTCCCTTTTTGCAGAACATGATAAAGGCCGCTAATGCTACTCAGAAGCAGATGAGCTTGGTGAAGCTCCATGAGCAATCAAAGAAGAACCTTGACCAGGAGATTCAAAACTACAAGGAAGAAGCTCAGAAACAGAGAAAGATCATTTACCAACTGGAGAAGGAGAGAGATCGCTACATTAATGAAGCGAGTGATCTCACTCATAAGGCAAGGCTTGTACATTTTTACCGGAAGATTATGTCAAAGGGACTTAGAGAGCTGAACTGTTATATAGTTTACTCCAGCTGATCTCTAGAAAAAATATTTGCACCAGTATTTTTTCGATAATGTATTTCGAGAAGATTTGGTAAATCTGTATAAAAACAAGCATTTCAAATTTGTTTTCATCTTTAGACCTTACAAACAGTGCAAGACAGAAATGAAATTCTAACAAAACTTCAGCAGTGGTGAAGGCAGCCTAATTAATTAAGCTCAGTTGCCACAACTCACAACTAACCCTGAAGTAATTGCATCAGTTCCCATATATATATATGAGACGGCACCCCCTTCTCTTCCTCACTCATTTTGGAATCCCTCTTAGACCCCATTTCCACCTTTCTAGCTAACCCTTTGTCACCTTTTCACCAAGAGTGGGGATCCAAGCTTCATCATCCTAAGGCTGTAAGGTTGGCCCTTAGCCAAGCCAACGTTTCATAAAATTCAATAAACGATTCTACTGACACGCAATCTTCAGCTTGTGAAATATAGATAAATTAACACCCATCAGTATTTTCATCTGTGTGAAATCTTATGAAGAAAGACTTGTCTTCTCTATAACATAAAACTGATTTTCATGATAGTCCTTCCTCTTCGTCGTTAGGAGTTTGTCAGAAAATCAGCGAAGAGATGTAATTCCTGAGCAAAATTAGGAATTAGTGGAAAAAATTATTACCATGCACATGTCATAGACATCAAACTGGCTTGAACAAAGGAAAAAAAAATGACTGGAAGGGAGAGTGGAAGTGTCTGTCTTCAGTTCATAAAAAAAACTTCCTTTTTATCTTTGATTTATAAGTTATTCTCTGACAGCCCAGCAGGATAACTTCCATTAGTTGTGGTTCAGTTTGAGAACGTTGAGATTTGATGGGTGTTAAAACAGCGTACAATCTTTTCACTTAAAATATTCACATTATAACTCCCTGCTCTACAGTACCTCTACTATTAAATGTCAACTTCAGAATAAATATCAACTAAATTACTATCAGTGCAACAGCTGCTACCACAACCTCTAATATGTATACAATGAAAGAAATGTATGAGCAAGAAGAAAATTATTTCCTAATAATAAAAGTCATTATTCAGTTTGCAACTTGATAATCCATTGTGTGAACTGTATTTAAAAATAATTATGGATTGATTTTCCATTACACTTATTAGTACTGACTGTTTTTAAAACAGCAGATTACACTCAGTGCAGCTGCAATAGTATTGCCTGGTAAGCAGGTTCATTTCAGTTCTGAAGTAAATGGAGGCACTCTGTGCTGCATCTAAAGCACAGCCACAGAATATGCTAAAATTAGACACAATCGATCTAAAAATGCCCTTTCAGTGTTGCAAGGAGTGTAATCAATTAATTAGATTCCCACTTCTGTGGCTAAACTACTACCACAAGTGTGTCTGCCATTGAGCATATTAACCCGTTCCACTCATAAGACTGGAAGTAATTTATTTAAGAAATTACTGATTATATGTTTATTCAAAGAATATGGTGGTGTATTTGAATTTGAAGAGTAAACAAAGTTGTTTTCTGATTAAGTATAATGGTGTTTGGGAGGTAAAGTTACATGTAATTGCATGGTTGGCTAAGATTTAAATGAACTCTGGAATTCCTTTTGTTTAATCTACCTCTGCAGGTCCTCCAGCACATGGAAGATATTAAAGTGAGGGAAATGCAGATTTTTGATTACAAAAAGAAAATTGCAGAAGGAGAGACAAAGCTCAAACAGCAACAGAACCTTTATGAGGCAGTCAGATCTGACAGGAACCTGTACAGCAAGAACCTCATTGAAGCTCAAGTACGTCTCAGTGTGCAACTTGCTGACAGTTTGTTGCTTCAGTTGTTCTTGAACTCACACATTTTTCCCTTTCAAATATTTTTCTTTATTAATTTCAATATTTTCTTGCTAACTTTTCAGAAGGCATACTCTGGAGTAATCAACAATTTCATAGAAAATAATTGTGGAAATATATATTTCTGTTGCTCTTTTGTTTGACACAGAGTGCACAAATACTTTTTTTCACATGTTGTAGTCTATCATTCAATCAGTATTACACTCATATAGAAGCATTACATTACACATACTGTGCAAACAGTGTAAAAAACTTGCAAAGAGATTTATAGTATATAAGCCTTAGCATAACAAGTTCATGTGGCTGATCCATTAAAACCTTTCTGATAAAGTTGATAATTGTTTTAATAGATAAAACGTGTCTACCTACTGGGAGATGCAAGAAACAAATTAAATGAATCCTAGCCTGGATGAGATTGACCAGCAACAAAAGACATAGCTTTCTACATTTTGGCATTATCTTGCAGTACATATTCTGTACACTTACAAATGTCCCATCACTGTCTCAGAACATAGACGATTCCAGGGATAAAAGCCTTTTTTGGTTATGAAAAGACATATCATATCAGTTTTTGATCTGGTACATTTCAAATAACTGCACTGTGTTTTTGACAAAATTGTTTTTCATTCTTTGTTTCATCTTTTTTGCTTCATTTTCCCCGTTCAGTTCTTTGATGGCATTTTCTTGTGCTTTTTATGTTTTTGTCTGAGAATTAGAGAACACTTTCTATTATTTTAATTCTTATCACTTAGGATGATAAATAACTACAAACATATCACAACGTTTAATGTTTTTGTTTCTCATTTTTTCTGTGAAATGGTTGTGAAAGGGTTGTGTTGAACTATTTTTTTATGTGCAGGATGAGATTACTGAAATGAAGAAAAAGTTGAAGATCATGAACCATCAGATTGACCAACTTAAAGAGGAAATTAATGGGAAGGAAACAGCTCTTGTAAAGGAACATCTGGAATTTCAACGTGTGGAAAAAGAAAAAGAGGCTCTCAAGGTATTTAATCAAAACTAGGGTAGTAGGTAGAAGGTAGGCACCTACAGTATTTACCAGTTGGAAATTAAAAGCCCAGAACCAGACAAAGCCATACTGTTGGGTACAGCCAAGATAATTTAACAAATAAACAGCAGTTAGCTACAGGATATGCTGATGGGTCAAAGTTTTGATATAATTCAGGTCTAGACTTGTATTTCCCAGCATTTGAAAGAACAAAGAAGTTGCACAAATAATGTGGGTATTGAGGTACGTTCACAGAACGCAATTACTGGGAGAAAACCACAGCCTCCATTCACTCTCAGATGACCTTCTTGCATAGCAAACACTGGAAAACCCTGATGCATCATTATATTGTTTACTGCAGAAATCCTTAATTCATAACAAAAAGAAATGAGATTTTTTTAATAAATTAATATAAAGGTTACTATCTACATAGTCAATACCTTCATACAAATTTCATTTACGTTGCAGCTTACATCAGCTTAATGTATTCTGCATTAATTTTGAAAGACAGGATGAGATACAAATGCAGTTGTCAGCTCATCTCTGCATATAAAATAGGAAAGAGCAAAGGCAGAACAATACAGTGAGCTAAAATACAGAAAACTACTGATGTACTTTTTTAAGGGCTTGCATGGGAAGAAAAGAAATGAGTATGCTAGGTCTTTGTATCATTCAATCAAGATGAAGTAGGAACTATTAAATTTATTAAGTTCAAATTAGATGGATGAACTGAATCCTAACTTTTTGAATCTCTTTTTTAATAACATTATAATATAATATGATCATATTTATAACAGTGTAAAATAAAAAAAATATATATCTTAGTAATTGCCAGTTTTTTTATGTGAAGAACCAGACATTTGGAGATATATTCTTATGAATAACCATAAATGTAATTCAATACAGAAATATATTTTTAGCAAAAAGCCTTTTTGAAAAATAATTGGATCTTAAAATAAAGAAGGTCAATGCATAATCCTAATATTATATTTTTTTAGATCCAAAGGTGGTGGTTTTGAGTCTGCATATTTTTGCACTTTCAATAACCACTAAGCTATGAACACTCTTCATTCGTAAGAAGAGATCACAAGCTTATCATATTTACAGGATAACACTGTTTTGAGTTAGTGAGACTTGGCATCAGACATTTACTTAATCAGATAAGTTAATTGAGATCAATGGTGGCACAGTAGTTAGCATTGCTGCCATACAGTACTAAGGCCCTGGGTTCAGTTCCTGGGGTATGTTCTCCTTTTGTTTTCTTGGGTTTCCTTTGGGTGAACTGGTTTCCTGCCACAATCCAGAGTCCTACTGGTAGGTTAATTGGCTTCTGGGAAAAATTGGGTTTGATGTGAATATCTGCATGTTCGTGTCTTTCTGTGCCCTACAATGCACTGGCATCCCGCCCTGGGTTTCCTGCCTTTCATCTATTACTTACCAAGCTCCCCAGGACCCTTTATTGTATAAACAGGTTAAAAATGGATGTGTGGATGGAATTGAGATCAAATTCTTATTTAGAGCTCACAATTTGGAGAATATTCATGTATCTAAGAAGGTATTTCACTGAAGGAACCTGAGTGAAGTACCTTGCTCTAGCATACAACAACGGTGCTTCATATAATGTTTTCTGCGCCTTCGTTTCTATGAAAGTCTTGAGTTGAAACCACAACTATCCAACTTTCCAGTTACATATCCAGACACATAATTAGAACTGTATGCTACTGCTTTCATCTTAAAGATGTGCTAGAAGATGTGCTGTTAATTTGATGAGAATTATGTAATATTTTAAATGCATCAAACATATATGCCTAATGAAACCACATGGAAATGAAAAAAATCACAGGAAAGTTATCACCATTATGAATTTCAAATTTACCTCCAAGGCATTAGAGAATTTAGAGAATTATGTTCATTAGATGTTTTAGGAAGTGCTTCCTCGTATTCTATAGTATCTCCAGAGAATAAGTTTCATGATATATATCAATCACACCCACACTTAACTGAAACACATTTGTACAGTTTCTGATTTGAATAACTATCCATAGGGGCCAGCACAGCTGAGCTATTTTCTTGGCAGTTGTTCTGGGAGACACCATAGCGACAGCAGCTGAGTAAAGTGCGAGTTGTTTAATAAGAACCAGAAGGGTCCCAAATCATTAGTATGATTACTAAATGAATGAATTATGGAGCACTACATGCTCTGTTTTTCCAACACTGAAGGCCTTGTTTCCTGTGATTATATCAATGTGCCAAGTAGAAGAGGATGTATTAAAAGGAGTGAGCTATATTTTTCTTGGTAAACATTTTCATAAAATAATCCAGACATTTCTTTGCACTTGGTACTTTTGCATTACACAGAACTTTATGTTTAAATTATATTTAAGTAATCACATGTTATATAAAACCTCAGAGCTGTCAAACTTCTTCACTACTGAAACTACAGTACTACTGTTCTGTGTTTCATTACCCATGGAGATGGTAGTGTTGCGATTTACATTACATTGTTGTGTTACTGATGGTGAGACCAGAAAACATAAGAAACAGCAGAGTTGCAAGCAGTCCACTTGAAATGGAAAAAAGGTAAAGATTTAACAGATTTTTTAATTATAAAGCTTAATGACAAACAAGTGGCTTTTCAAGAACAATCATTTTTTTGAATGCTCTAAGATATTTAGCATTATATTCTATTTGTAATGGCAGTATCCGATTCATAATTTATCGGGCTGTATCTAAGCAATGTTCTTATTAGTGTCCTTCGTTTATTTACTGCATACTTCTATGACATTAATGACTGAATTAACATGTCCTGACACCTGCAAACTTGAGGATTCTGTTGTTGCACTCAGGCTCAAATCTGAATTTCATGTTTTAATTTCAGACTGTTTTAAAGCTATCAGACATATAGCTTGTTTGCCCTAAACAAACTGTCCATGCAATATTTTGCAATAATTAAAATATACTACATTACTGTACCTTGTTACTCAATATAGAAGTACTGTATACATTTGAAGTGTTAGATTAAGTAACTGTTGCATGTGAAAGAGTGAGTACTAAATAAGATGAGTAGCTGATTAATTGCTCATGCATTTAAGAGTCCCTCGATACTACCAGAGTGTCTTTGCCTAGAGCCAAACCACTAATATTTAACTTTTTATTCACTCATAGACCTCTCTCGGGAATCATTTTTGTTTAGAAATAATTTGCATGCTTCTGTACAAAACTGAGAATATAAATTAAACATTCCACAAGGCAATTTTCTAGATGTCTTCATGCCCACCGTTTTAGGGTTTATAAATATCTAAAGCAAAAAGTTGATTGTGAGTGGTTACTTTTTGGACTTTTTGCTAAACATGTGGTATGTTATTACATTAAATGATAATTTAATACCAATGATTAAAAATCATTAAAATTATGTTCTGTTTTTCAGGAATGATAGATTACTTTGTGTTTTGCATTACCATAGTCTACAAATTGTCCTAGGGGAGAAAGTTTAAGAAATATAGGATGGGAAAATAAAGACGAACTATTTTCATATAATAATATTTTAAAAAAGAACACAGAAAAAGAGCATAGAACACTGTTAGACCATGGTCAATGTGATTTTGCTAGCACTTTTCTGGACACTCCAATCAAAGCACTTCAGGTAATGGAGACTCCCCTCCACCATCACCAATGTGCAGCATCCACCTGGATGATGCGACGGCAGTCATAGTGCGCCACAATATTCATCAGTCTTCCTTCAACTTTTCTAGTTCTAAAAGGTGATTTGTTTTGTAAGATCAGTGCCTGCTCATGAGATGCTGGCTTATCCATCCTCTACTATTGCTTCCTGTTGTACAAGCAGTATTTTAGCCTTTTTTACCCTGAAGAGATCACGCAGATGGATAAGAAACATAAAAAAAGTTCCAAATGACAGGAAATCATTCAGCCCAACTTGCTTGTTCATCTGCCAACACCTAATATACTGTATGTAAAGATCTCATTTAGCCATTTCTTAAAGGAAGCCAGGGTATGAGCTTCCACAACAAGGCCGGGGGGCATGTTCAATACTCCTACAACCTTTGTGTAAATACTATAAGTGTCTCATGTTTTACATTGATTTCCCTGTCATTTCCACTTTTATCCATTAGGTTATATTCTACTGTAGATTCTTCAATATGTCCAGTATTGGGTTGCCAGAATCCTGACCAGGCCATGTGCAAGTGATCACATTACTTCTGTTTTGTAATCCTTGCACTGGCTTCCTATCGGGTGTCGTGTCAACTTAAAAATCCTCATGTTCACCTATAAGGTTCTACGTGGCTTGGAACCAAAGTATCTAATTATTATCCTACTCCCCACCTCGCAACCTTCATTCATCTGATTCTGTTCTCCTTTTTGTCCCCCAAGCTCTTTTACATTTTACTCTATTTACATTCTATTTTGACAGAACCTTCTCTTGTTATGTTCTGGAATTCTAACTCAAAGGGTATCAGAGAATCACATTCAAACCCAGACTCAAAACCTTCAGAAAGGCTTTTATTTAATTTGTGTCTGTATCTGCTCCTTGCATCTTTAACTCCATTTCTAATCACTTGTGTTTATTTGTGCTATGTGCTGTCCTTTTTTTGTTAACTGTTTTCTCTTGTTTTAACGTGTTCTTTACTTTTACTATAAAGTGCTCTGCAAATGTCTTTTAAAATAACATTTTTATATTATTATATCTATTCAACATTCAGTTTCATGACATGCCTGTCCAAAGTGGTAACTTTACTAACTTAAGCCATTCCATTTGGTATTTAATACATACAGTAGTATTTTACATAATCAGCATTATTTTATTTGAGTGATTGAAGATTTCTTATGAAGGCTCAGAAGTGATTATCTCACAGAAGTGACTGTCTCTGTGAGTTTTTTCAATGTACAGTATACTATTGGTGAAATTTTGAATATCCATTTTTAAAAGTAAAAAAAAAAGAAAATATGTTCTTATTTTACAGGGAGTCAAGGGATATGAA